CCCCTTCCCCTCCCCTCCCCCCTGTTTGAATTTCATCCTGGGGAGAACCCTGCTTATGCATCAGTATTTTACAATCAGTCACAGGTGGCATTGCGATTTACCCGTTTGGTATGAGAACATACTCTGTACATATACAAACTTATATATGCACTATAATAAGCATATATAATAGCATAACTGCAATATATATGCTTGTTGTAGCGTCGTTAACAACGGTCACTTACCATTCTCGCAGGTGTGGAATCCTGCATGTTAAATATAGCTCAGTATGAAGGCTCTAAGACATTTTATAGTTACTCTAGACAGTTGCTGTTACTTGAGCAATAAAGGTAAGTGTCGTAAAAGTGGGGAAAAAACGAGACTGCATGGTTGGTTATGTTCGCAATCCTGGCGTTATCAATGATCGCTCGCTGTTCTCTCGCAGGTCGCGATTCTTTGATGAAGATGGAGACCTCGCACACGAGTTCTACATCGAGGTTCCAGCGTCCGGCAGGAGAAAGCGCGCCTCGATGAAGAAACGCTCGACGCACGGCCTCACACCCGAGGCAAGTCTTGTGACTCACGGTTTACGACCGCGAGCACGCAGCGACGCATCCATCGATACGGCTCCGAAGAACGGGCCGCCTCGACGCAGCTGCAGACAGTGCCGGCAGTTCGCGCTCGAAAACTCGGGCTTACGCCGTTACGATATTTCAAAAAGCTTGCGTCGATATTTACGAGTCTATTTCTCGGGAGCGGTGCATGCGAGGCCGGCAAATTTTCGGGGGGAATTGTGTCTCGCTGCTGTTTTAGCGAGAGTGCCTTTAGTTGAGCTGGCATGGAGTTTTTAGCATAGATGAGAATGCATATTTTCAGAAGTGGATAATAGGGAAGGAGTGTGATTTCAATAAACATGGGAAATTTGTCATTTACTAGCATTAGAATACCTACGATTTACTACGTGTAACTCAACCAACTTGAGCTAAAATCGTACACAGTACATTCGCCTAGCATTGTGCGAAATCGTTTCCTTGTATACACCCGCAATCCGGAGATGCAGACTAAAACGTATGACACGATTCTCCATTCTGTTGGCAGCAAACCGAATCCATTACCCGCCTAACTTGAAACAATAGGCAGCTACTAACGACTCTTGCACACTCTTGTGCCCTCGGCGATGCGGTGTGGCTCGCTGGGAGATTGGAGCTGGAGCTGCTGCTGATTGCGGTGGGCTTGCGTGCGTGGGGGGCATACCAGCTGTAAATAGGTCAACGATTAGCTCGTCGAGTGTTACGTCGATGTCTAATCTCCCAGAGAGCCACACCGCATCGCCAAGGGCACAAGAGTGCGCAAGAGTCGTTAGTAGCTGCCTATTGTGTTTTAGTCTGTATCTCCGGATTGTGGGTGTATACAAGGAAACGATTTCGCACGATGCTAGGCGAATGTACTGTGTACGATTTGAGCTCAAGTTGGTTGAGTTACACGTAGTAAATCATAGGTATTCTAAGGCTAGTAAATGACGAATTTCCCATGTTTATTGAAGTCACACTCCTTCCTTATTATCTACTTCTGATATTTTGCAGGTAGGCCACAAGTTGTGGCAGAGCAGCTCTCAGAAGGAATTGTATCTTGCTACCGTATACATAGATGTATGCGTGAGAATACATAATCATATCTTGCAGTACTTAGGGCACGAGTTGTGGCAGATCAGCTGCTCAAACAGCTAAAGAACCAGCAATAAGCATCAGAATGTAAGGTAGAGGTAGCTGAACACAGAGCATTATATAAATACGTGAACAGAACAGTGGCGGTGACGTACGGCGTTACCGGGTTGCAACAAATATTGTCAGTGGATCGACGACTGTTGTAACAGTGCACGTAAAGTTACACGTGTCAGTTAGTCTCGTGAACGGGGGAAAACGTGCGGAACTTATAACATCAGTAACGTAACTATTGGCACGCATTAGCGTTGCCGTGAATGTTATTTAGGACAACCGCGTTCACTCTGTGAATTCGTGACGATGGTTTCGAATGTACTGTGTGATGATCAGCGTTATTATTCTTGTTGTTGTTGTTGTTGTTCTCTACTCAGGGTGAAGTCCGCTACAAGTATCCCAGAATCCACGTCGACCTTCCAGTCGTTCTCTACTGTAGTAGCTGATCAAGCCGCTTCGTTAACCATGGCTGGCAACAGCAGCAGCAGCATCACCTGGTGAGGTCGCTTTTGGGTCAACAAGCACCGGTCACGCCACCTGGTGTGCAAAAGAAGCTTCTCATGCTGCCTGGTGGTGAGCGTGCAAGTGTGTGTGTGTGTGTGTGTGAGAAAACAGGTGTACCCTGTGGATGTAAATACTTAATATTTGTGAAACTGTCCCGGCCTGTGTAAACTACACACATCCATGACCATGGCGTGGGTTAGCCTGGGCAGGCCGTATATGTGTGTTATTTCATTGGCGTTCACTTATTTGAAGGCCATGTGTATATCATTCTATAGTTATATCATGAGATGAAATGTTCAGATTTGCCTACCTTTTCCTTTGGTTATCGTGCGAGGGAACTGCTTATGCGTGCGTGCGTGCGTGCGTGCGTGCGTGTGTGCGTGGGTGTTTGTGTGAGAGAGAGAGAGTAGCAGAGCCTTCAAACTACCTGTGTTTGGCCCGTAGTCCCAAGACTGTAAAAATTAATGTCCAGTCATCGTGTGTTCATAACCATAGTGCAATTTTGTAAGTGGAAAACGAGAGGGGATAAAATGTGTTCATCTTCATGCATACGTACGTAAGGCTATTCGGATAAGTTGATTAGGTTGTGCGTAACATACATGTTCACGTATTCGAAACTGGCCTATAATTATTGCTAACAGAGATTATTAAATCATTATATTAACGGTATCAGCCTGCAGATGGCGCCACCGTGTTTGAATTTACTGTTTTATTATGTATCGTATCCCACCTTGCAGAATTTGTCTGTGATCACAGTGTAACCATGAAAATATGTTATGCGGGCTTGATGAAAACTGTGTGAGTTTGTTTTACGAGGTGCGTGTGCTGTTTATTGTAAGTACTGTCAGTGGGCAAAATTAAAGGCAACAAACAACCACCGGCGAAATGTTGCTATTGTAAAATTTCAGCATTAAATTAAATTATGTATAAACTAATTTTGCTGCTGAATTGCCATATGAATAAGTTCATCGGCGCATAACCTGCTAGCATCCTATCAGGAGTCTATCAATAGATATTATATTGATATTATATCGATATTAGATATAGATAATATATCTATTGATAGACTCCTGATCCTATTCTGGAACACCCAAATATCCGCTACTGTTTTAGTCAGAGCCGTAAGTTCGCTCTTACCAAGAATCCATGCATCGGTGTGTTTACCTCTTTGTGCGTGAATGGTAAGGTGCAGAAAGTTTGTTTTTGGTGACCATCTGCCTTACTTCCTTACCTCAATATTATTGCCTCAATTCAGTCAGTTAGCAATTCTTTTCATAAAGAGAGTTTCGGTGGCATGAGTTAATAAACTTTGAACTGTTCGGAGCTTCTCAGTTGCAGGGTCGTCCATTTTTTTCCGCTGTTCATTATTTTCTGTTTCGTTGCCTATTCTATTAGATGCGTTTGGCGTGTTCGTTTATGCCCGAATTATTGTTATTTTTGTTGATTTTGCATTGTTTTTACTTGGTTTTGAGTTTTGGTTGAAGCGTTGCCGACGAGTTATTCGATGATGTTTCAACTCGGCAGACACGGTACAGGTGGCACCACAGGAGTTTCCGCCTTCTCGCGTTTTTTTGCGAAAACTGCGGCAAAACGCTTTGGAATACGTAATGCCGATGACGAAATGCTTTGCATAGTGCGATGTTAACTATGGCACTAAGGATGAGTCATCAGAGAGAGAGAGAGAGAAAGAGGATCATATATATATATCTAGAGAAGAGAGAGAGAGAGAGAGGAGAGGAGGAGAGAGAGCGAGAGCCGAGAGAGAGAGGAGAGCATAGTGAAAGAAGATTATATAATCTATTTATATTATAGAGAGGAGCATGAGAAGAGAGACCACAGAGAGAGGATAGTGACGAGAAGAGGGTTGAGAGAGAGAGATGAGAGGACGAGAGTGAGAACAGATTATATATCGATAGTATATATATTACTATTCGAGAGAGAGAGAGAGAGAGAGAGAGGAGAGAGGTAGTGAGAGGAAGCAGCGGTTTGAGAGGAGGAGAGAGGAGATGAGATGAGATGAGAGACGAGAGAGAAAGATATAATATATATTATATATTTATATCTATATATATAGAGAGAGAGAGGAGAGGAGCGAGAGCCGAGAAGAGACGAGAGAGAGAGAGATTATTGAGAGAGCAGGTTTTGAGAGAGAGAGAGAGAGAGAAATTTACTATTATTACTATTATATTATTAAGAGAAGAGAGAGGGGAGCAAGGAGAAGGAGGAGGAGAGAGAGAGGATGTAGAGGAAAGATGTAGGAAGAGAGAGAAGATATATATACATATATATATATATTTATATGTATATAGGAGTGAGAGAGAGAGAGAGAGAGAGAGAGAGGAGAGAGAGAGAGAGATAGGTGAGAGAAGAGGGTGAGATCGGAGAGAGGAGGGAGAGAGAGAGAGCGAGAGAGGAGGAGAGGAGAGAGGAGAGGAGAGAGAGCGAGAGAGGAGAGAAAGAGAGAGTTTACAAGAGATGAGGCAATGACGAGAGAGAGAGAGCGAGAGAAGAGGCGGGGGGGAGAGAGAGGAGGCAGAGCGGAGGAGGAGAGAGCAGAGAGAGACTTAGCAGCGACTTGATGAGCAGCGATGAGAGAGAGAGAGAGAGAACGTGAGAGAGAGTCGAGAACGAGAACGAAGAGAAACGAAACGAAGAGGAGAATAAGAGTAAGCGGAGAAGAGAGGCAGCGCGACTAAGATAGAGCGCAGAAGAGAGAACGAATTGAAGTAATTAAAGAAGATCAAGAGAACTGGCACAAGAAGCACGAAATAAAGATACGCAGGAAAGGAAGCGAGAAACAGCAGCTAAGACGACGCAGCGGAACGCATAGGAAAATAGGACCAGGAGAAAACATGGAGACAAGGCGAGAAGAAGCAAAAACACAAAAGAGGAAAGAAGATGAAAAAGATTGAAGAGGACGAGAAAGAAAGCACACGGAGAAAGAAAGAAGAGATCAAGAAGTCTACGAGACATAAAAGAGTCCCGAAGGAGAAGCCCCCACCCCACGAGGTAGAAGAGAGGAAGAGGTAGGCGCACGATAGGAAACTGAGAAGGAAGGGTCTCGCACTGGGGGGGACGGGACCGCACGAGGTCCGGCGACACCGTGCGAGGGCGTTCGACGGGAGACGACGAGAAGATGGGAGGCGGCGCCCTACAGCAGAAGAGAGAGAGAGAGAGAGATGAGGAGCAGGCGAGACCCAGAGAGAGAGAGATGAGCGGAAGAGAGAGGAGCAAGCGCCGAGAGGGAGGAGAGAGAGCAGAGAGAGAGAGAGAGAGGAGAGAGGGAGGAAAGGAGAGAGAGAGAGAGAGAGCGAGAGATGAGAAGGAGAGAGAGGCGATGAGAGTAGACGAGAGAGAGAGAGGGAGGATGAGAGGAGAGAGCGAGAGAGGAGAGAAGCAGAGAGAGGAGAGAGAGAGAGGAGAGAGAGAGAGAGCGAGAGAGGAGAGAGAGAGGAGAGGAGAGAGAGAGTAGAGGAGAGAGAGAGAGAGAGAGAGAAGAGAGAGAGAAAGAGAGAGAGAAAGAAAAAACAGTTGTAATGCAGACTTATATTATCTATTCTCTGTTACCGCATCTGTTCCGGCGCTGCATTATTGAGCAGAGCTCGCATAAGGAGCGCTTAGCACGCATCTCTCATCTCAGCGCGACGCTGCTACGCTGGATACGTGTGCTGGGCGCGTCCCGCGGGGAGAGTGAAAGGAAGGCTTCCTTTAATTTAAAGTGCGACCGTGGAACCACTAACGTAGACGTCTCCCCCTGCCTTCCTTCAGTCCACAGCCTTCCTGCGTCATCCCGCTATATTATACATGTCGAAGAATACCTTCGTTTGCAGTGCATGCGTGCAGCGCGTACATACATTAGATATGTGCGTTGCTGTTATTTTGCCCCCGTGGGGCATCGGCGTTTAATAGGCCCGTCTTCTTTAAAAGGCAGTTTCTTTTTTCTTGCGTTTTTGTCGATGAATGCTGCGGACGGAGGCAGCAGAAATGCGGTCGTGCGTGTGTGGTTGTTTATGTAGTCAATTGAGTGAGAAAAATACACGAGTTCTTATTGTCGCCATTGATAGTACGGATGTTTGCGTTTTTGAAATGAATTGTTCTGTTTATCTTTCATCTATTTTAACTCTTCTTTGAAACGGCGCGCGATCGTACGTTTACTCTGCTGACGTCAGTGCGCCACTACTTGGTGACGTTATTGCGTTAGCGCTTGCGTAAGCAGAATATGACGTCACTGCTCGCGTCAGCACTAACTAATGGTATTAGTCGCGTCGCAAAGTCACTGCTTGCGTCGGCAATGCTGACGCAAGCGTGCGTCAGCGCCACGCATGTTCCCTGACGGTATCGTGAGGCGAATTCTCCACCTGCGAGTGCGATAGTCGCGCTTAATCTCACGGTATAAGGGCGTAGTTTACGTGAGAGGGCGCCACCGCTAACTGCGGCATGGGCGGCCGTACATCCCCTGAGACTATCATGAGACTATCACACCCCTCCACCCGTATCAACATATTAAATTTAATCGTAGAGAGAGAGAGAAGCCATTACACTAATGGTCGCACCAACGCAAACATAGAGCCCCTCAAGACCGCGTTGTTTTACTCGTTCTTTGCACCAGATGGCGCGTGACATCATCGTCGCTTTAGTCTGCTGTCGCGTTGTAGATTTGTCGTTAGACTTCGTCGCAAGTGTTGGGTGCGGGGACAGTCTAGGCCGCTAGAACGCACTTACATCTATTAGACGTATTAATGTCTAATACTACACTTAAAGCGGTTACTATTTCATCATTGTCGTCTCAGTGGGTGAGGAATAATTCAGTCGACGACGTAAGTGGGTGGTCGTCGTCGTCATTGCTGCTGTCGCAATGGTGCGTGAGGTAAACTGAGTAATCAAGGTTCGATCTTACACAAGAGCAAGTGATACTGACTGGAAGAAAGAGAGAGACAGAAGGAAAAAGAGAAACAGACAGACAGACATAGAGAGGGAGAGAGAGACTCTCTCTCGCGCGCGCGCAAGAGAGACGCGAGGGCGAACTATAGCCTATATATAGCAAATCACGCAACCGTAACAGTAATTTAAAATATCAGCGACTGCAACAAAATTGCCTACAAATGTCACTCCACGCACCCCGTAACAAGATCGAAACGTGGTCGCTGATGTGCGAGCATACGATACATGAATAACTCCGGATTAATTTTTCCGCCAAGTGCTGTACACGGATCGGGGGGTATAATTTTAAAGAATCCAAATATTTTTCGCGAGTTTGAATGATCGCATCATGCAGCAGCGTGGCCGAGTAGACATGGATCTACGTTCACCCTGTCGATATATATATTATCAAGAGCGTATTAAGAAGGATTACCTTCTTAATTACCTTCTTAATACGCTCTTGACATTATATTGTGTGTGTGTGCGTGCGTGTGCGTGTGTGTGTGTGTGTGTGTGTGTGTGTGTGTGTGTGTGTGTGTGTGTGTGTGTGTGTGTATATGTATATATAGTATATATATTATATGAGTATATACTATGAAGCGCTCTTCAATATACAGGATAGGCGAGCTTATGCCGTGCCACGTACGCACCGCCCGCACACTACATAGCGATATTGTTATACACGTGACCGTGGTGCGTGCCGATGCGTGAGCATGCGTGGTCGCGCTGCGTGGTCTGTGAGTGTGGTGCGGAGTGGTGAGTGCTGAGCTGTGTGGTGGCGTGCGTGCGTGCGGGCGCAGCAGGCGGCGAGTGGGAGAGCGTTTATTGGAGGCACCCAAATTTCCATTATACGCCTAATCACGTTCCCTCAAAGCACAAAGAGTTGTAGCTGCAATCGGCGCCGACCTCCTCTGTGAACATTGCCGTACTTCCACAGCCGACAAGACACGATAATTTCTAGTAATTTGTTAAATGAGGCCTAATTATTTTTTCGATGTCGTACCGGCAACACATCATCGCATGAATCTATTATCATGACGACGGCAAACACCTCGCGTTGGATAGTGTTCTTTCTATTCCGTTGGTGTTCCCGTTCATTTTCTCTCTTTCGGCAGCCACACGCTTGATTGAATTCCCAGTCTTCGACGTCGAACCGGTGAAAAATGGCTTTACTTCGCGATCTGTAAAACGCTGTTAGATTAAGAAAGCTGATGGCGCGCTAGGTTACTAGTGTTACGTGACGTGTTTGTATCCAGCTCCCGCTGACGAGCATGCGGCCGAGATGCTTGGGAGCTGGGACGTGAGACGAAGCAGGTTGGTCCATCGTACCCAGAAATAATTTTTTTCTACGAGTTTAGATGTATAATGTTCAAGCGCGGTTAATTATCGGATGTTTTACCAACCAGCGGACCTTCTATCATAGTTTAACGAGGTTAACATTATGTGGAGCATTTAAAGTGGTGATGGAAGCAAACTTTTTTATCAAATGTTGCACAA